GGGGGGGGGGGGGGGGGGGGGGTGTTGGAATTTTAGATAATTTGTTTGTGAAGGAGTGTGGTTGTCCGACCCACAGCAGCACCAGAGCAGAGCCACCCACCGCCATGGAAGAAGCTCAATCTCAAACGCCCCACGTTCTAATGATGCCAAGTCCGGGAATGGGTCATCTTATCCCACTCATCGAATTTGCCAAACGGCTCGTCTTACTGCACCGCTTCACTGTCACTTTCGCCATTCCTTCCGGCGACGCTCCTTCCAAAGCTCAAATCTCGGTCCTAAATTCCCTACCCTCTGCTATCGACCACCTCTTCCTCCCGCCTGCTCCATTGAAGGACCTTCCAAGCAACACCAAAGCCGAAACCATCATCGTCCTTGCCGTTAGTCGCTCTCTTCCCTCTCTTCGCGACCTCTTCAAATCCATCGTGACCCAACGCAACCTTGTCGCCCTCGTTGTCGACCAATTCGGCACCGTGGCCTTCGAAGTCGCTAAGGAATTCAGCGTCTCGCCTTACATTTACTTTCCTTGCGCCGCCACGACTCTCTCGCTTATTCTCCACATGCCGAAGTTGGACGAGTCGGTCACCGGCGAGTACAGAGTCCTCACCGAACCTATTAGACTTCCGGGGTGCACTCCAATTCCAGGGAAGGAATTGCCGGATCCGTTTCTAGACAGGGAAAATGATTCCTACAAGTTTTTTCTCGAAACCATGAAGGGGTTTGTGTTAGCAGAGGGGATTTTCCTAAACAGCTTTCTGGAATTGGAGTCCAGTGCCATAAATGCTCTGCAATTGAGCGGATCCGGCAACCCCCCAATTTACCCAGTTGGTCCATTGGTGAAAGTTGATTCAAGTGTGACTGAGGAAGGGGTTGAGTGTTTGAATTGGCTGGATGAACAACCACGTGGGTCTGTTCTGTTCGTGTCGTTTGGAAGTGGGGGAACTCTGTCGAGTGTTCAACTGAACGAATTGGCTTTGGGATTGGAAATGAGTGGGCAAAAATTCATATGGGTTGTTAGAAGTCCGAGCGATAAGGAAGCCAGTGCATCATTTTTCAGTGTCCATAGCCAGGATGATCCATTGAGGTACTTGCCGGAGGGGTTCGTGGAGAGAAACAGGGGAAGGGGATTAATGGTGCCGTCGTGGGCTCCGCAGGCACAAATACTGAAGCATGGTTCGACCGGGGGGTTCCTGAGCCACTGCGGGTGGAATTCGACATTGGAGAGCTTGGTTAGTGGGGTTCCTCTGATTGCTTGGCCACTGTATGCAGAACAGAGAGTGAACGCCATCATTTTAACAGAAGAGATTAAGGCGGCGCTGAGGCCGAAGATGAACGAGGAAAGTGGGGTTATTGAGAAGGAAGAGATAGCAAAGGTCGTGAAGTGTCTGTTTGAAGGGGAAGAGGGGAAGAAAGTGCGTGCGAAAATGGAGGAGTTGAGAGTTGCAGGGGAAAGGGCCACTGGAGACGGGGGATCTTCTTCAAGAACGCTCCTGGAAGTAGTTCAGAAATGGAGCAGCAGCAACGTTTCGGGATAGAGATCTTTGGAACTGGTTTCCTCAAAAATAAGATTACCGTTTAAATCCGTAAGTTTGTAATGTAAATGTTGTGTGTGGTTTCATGTTTATTTTCACTAAATAATGAGCATTCTGGTTTAAATTAAAATTCGTCGTGTCTTGGAAGGTAGGGCAATTGGGAGTGGTTGGAGATAGGTTGGAAGAAGATTATGGTGTGAAATAATATGGACAAAATTTGAGAGCGCCCACCCCTTTCTTTCTAGAATGTGATGCCTTTTTATTAGTTGCAAAACGACGTGACAAGCACCTCACTCAACTCTCCGATCACAAGAACTCACCATTTAATATCAATCATAATCATATTAGTTGATAGTTGACTCGTCTTCCAACAATTCTCTTCTCAAATAAAGTACATCAGAGAATCTCTTTTGAGACCTATGAAGCCATCCAACAATTTCTCCTTAATCAAAGCTCAAAGCTCGATGTGGGTCAAACTCATGGCAGTGATTTGGGCTAAAAAGCTCATATTCCTCTTCTCCACTTCTCCAAAGGCCCATATTCATTAACTTAATGAAATCATTACATAACATTTCTAAAAAAAATTCACCACTAAAACATTACAAACATAAAGAACAAAACAAAATTTAAAATACACAAATTAACCCAAAAGTTATTGTTACACGGAGAAAATAATAATAATAATTCTGAAAATGAAGAAAAATTAGTAAAAAGTAAAAAAAAAAACTTTATGAAGAGATGAAATCTAGAGAGTCAAAGGGGAAATTCTGGTCAAAATCGAAATCCCAATCCTCATTACAAATCGGCGAATTGGTCACTGAAGTAGTCGCCGAAATCATGTCCGATTGCTCCGACGATGGAACCATCAGAATCCCTCCGCCGTGGTAGCCGCTCCAGTCCCAGGCCGTCTCCTCCGACGTGGCTGACGAAACTGGCGCTGCAGACAAGCCGCCGTCGGCTAAAAGAGGAAGGTCCATCGTGGGGGAGGAGAGAAAAGAAATGGGCGGAAAAACATCGTCAAAATCCTCCGATTTAACACCGAAATTGAACCAAATTTCGGAATTCGGGTTCCGCTGCTGATTCTGACCGGTTTCTTGATCTCCAGAGATTTCATTTTGAAGTGAACCAGAAACCAACCCCAAATTATTAGTGGATTGGTTACAAGTGTGTCGTCCTCTGTAGGTTACGTCGAAAATGTTTGGATCATTGTCGGATCTTTGAACTTGTTTTGTCGCCAAACATCCTCGTTCATGTCTATGACTACATCTGTAGTAACATCTGCACATTTCAAAATTACCCAAAAAATTAGATAAATCAAACCATTTTATTCATATTTATAATATCAACATGTTCTCCACTTGCATCACCCAATTGGGTTGGTTGACTTTTCTTTCTTCACCCAATTTAAGTTGGTTGACTATTCTTCAAACATGTGGAAATAATGCTAATCCGCAACTAAATCCCAAGTTGTTATTAATCAAATGAACCCTAAATACCCATTAATGCCAAAAATTAACCCAAGATTTATTTATTATTATTTACCTTGGGAAATTAGCTCCATGGATATCTTTTTGGCCATACTTTCTCCAACTATAACCATCGTTGAGAGGACCTTCAGGGGCAGTTCCTCTGCAAATCTTAATTTCCTCTGTCCATTTAGGCAGTAATTTTCTGCAAAGATAAAAAGGATTTATCTCCAAATCCAAATAACAAAGAACAAAAAACAAAAAGTTGGAACTCAAAATTTAATTTACCTCCTCTTCACATCGCTACTGTTCTTCCTCTTGTTCTTGCGGGGTTCTCCTTCTTCTTCTTCTTCTTCCACCGAAGCAATTTTATGGGTTGTCGGATCTGGCATTATTGAACTAGAAGAGTTGAATTTCAGAAGCAAGAGTGCTTTCTCGAAAGAAGACTGAATCCTTTCAGTCAAGAAGAAGCATGGTTCTGCTGGGGAAGAGGAAGAAGAAGGGTGGAGATAGGTTCTGAGTTGAAGGGCCAGCTCCTTCCCCTGAGTCAACTCGGTGATCAAACTCTTGTGTTCCATTTCCATTATTACAAATTCCCAAAGAAGAAATGGCGGCGGCGGCGGCACACACAGTAGTTGATAGAATTTAAGAAGAATATGGTCATTCAAAGATTCAAAATTTGGCGAAACCCAGAAAGAAGAAAACTGTTCCACTCAAATGGGTCACTCCCAAATCCCAATGACTGTGAACCCAAAAGAGGAAAGAGGGAAAAGCTCCCAACTTTGAGAGAATTGAAGAGGTATGGAAGTTGGGTTGGAAGCGAAGGGGGATATAAAGATGTCAAACACTGAAGAGAGAGAGCCAAGACGTGTAAGAAGGGCTGTGAAAGAAATAAATACTAAATAAAGGGCAAAAAGTTGGGAAAAAGAGGGAATGGCTGACCATTTCAAAAGCCATCGGGTGCAGTAATTTGATGTGGGTTCTGTAAGCATAGCCAATGTGGAAGGGACAACGCGGAAAGAGCTTCCATAGGCAGTGACGTCGTGTGGTGAAGTCAGATATGAACCCTTTGGTTACGTCGACACATCATGTGGGCCTTTGATCTTCAACCCTGAATCATATTCAAAACGCATCGGACTTTCTCTTAAAAAAAACAAAAACATCCAAGTTTTCTTTGACGCGGTTTCCTTTGATTTTGAACCCTCGTTCGTTACTGGTCACTCTAAGAAGATGATGCCATTTCATGCTTGAACAGAGACGAAAACGTAGTATGCAGCAGACCCACAAATGATAAACAAGTATGTAAAGAGTGTTTAAAGGAAAAGGTTATAACGTCGAATGAGTCTTCACGTGTACGTTTAGCCTAAGGTGTTGACCTTATAGATGTAGTAGGAGATTTCGTGTAATGCTCGAGTAAAGGAAAGATACATGAATGAACCAAGATTATATCTAAACGAAAGTGATCTTAAAACTTCAGAGCTAAATGTGGGTCATGTGGGGTAACCTCCTATTAATTTTATATGGTTTGATTTCAAATTCCAATTCCATTTGGTCAAAAATTTGAATTCCATCTTCAAATTTGCTCCTTTATCTTTCTTTTCAAAACTTTGACCAATGAATAAATCATCATAATACTCAAAGAAGAAGACTTCCAACTCAAGCAGATATGCTGAACACCCAGATCTCAAACCAAAAGAGTATGAATGGTTCCAGTTGTTTTGAAAGATTCATAACTTGAAAAGGAAACATCATGGCCCCTCTCAAAGTTGGGCAGAAACCATGATTCTTAGAACTACTTATGCAATTTCCAGTTGATTCATACCTGTTCCACACTCTGTTTTCTTTAGTGAAGGTGAGAGAGTACTGAGTTTTTGAATTTGGAGCTTAATCCAATCTTCATTTGAAGAGTTTGAGGTCAAAGTTGCAAATAATTACAATTTCATTGACTTGTAATAAGAAAATCACAAAAGCAGCATACTTTTTTTGTTGGAGACTAAGAGCAACGACCTACTCTGTCATCCATGCCTTCTTTCAACACTAAAACATATGGGAAACTCACCCACCATACCTCACTAATGTAGACTCTGGAATTCCCAGCTAAATTACTCCGCCGTTACGGCTGCGATGGAGTAGGAGACGTCGGAGGCCTGAAATCTGGATACTGCAACCAGGGATAAAACATGGAGATTCAGAGGTAGTATTTATCATGAATGCCATTAACAGACAGAAAATAACTTGATAAAATGGCTGCTCCTAAGTTGGGGATATTGTGCCTACTGCCACAAGTTGAGTATTAAACCACCCATTTTGGCCTATGATAACTGTCTTTGAGTTCTAAAGCGCACCCATTTTGGTCTTAGACTAGAACCATGATATTTGATATCTGAAAGATTATCTAATTTCGAGTATGAGTACTAGAAAACATGGCTTGAGGTACTGCTAAGTGCTGAAGGCGAACTATAAAATATGTCCTGTTGGAACCAAGCTGTAACAGCCCAAGCCCACCGCTAGCAGATATTGTCCTCTTTGAACTTTTCCTTTTGGACTACCCCTCAAAGTTTTTAAAACGCGTCTTCTAGAGAAAGGTTTCTACACCCTTATATATAGAGTGTTTCGTTCTATTCCCCAACAGGTGTGGGATATTACACAAGCTGTTTTAGGCTGTTGACAAGTTCTCCACTTTTCTGAGATGCAATCTACAACTAGAAGCTTGGGAACAAAAAAGCAAAGAAAAGAAATACTCATGGACGTGATAATTACATAAGGATATGGAGAAAGCGGCCTCGAGATTTTGGGCAACGATTCTGCCTTTACTTCTTGTTTGGCAACCGAAGTTAACTCGGGAGCAGGCTCCGCAACAGCTTCTGCTTTTGGCTCAGAAGTCAAGACAGGGGCAGCCTCTGCTGTCTGTATAGTGTCACTGGATGTTGCAGCCTCCACAGCTGCCTCTTCTGCTGCAGGCAGTGACTTGCCTGTAGCAGGCAATGGTAATAGAGCCTTTCCAATGTCCTGACATTCATAGATGGTTGAGATTATGAGGTTATGTGATAGTAAATTCAACAGAATGTATCAAGTACCTTCAAGTCGTCGACAAGATCTTGTGGGGCAACCTTGGTGTTTAAGAACTCATCAACTTCTTGAAAAGTTTTCTTCCGATCCTATTACCAATGGATTGAGGTCAAGCATACTTCAGTAACCAAAAGCAGAGCGGTTAGGTAGAACGATGTATTATCGTAAAAAATCCGAATAAAAGAACAACTTCCCACAAGACGTCGGTACTAAAAGTAGATGATCTGAAAAAATTAAGTCAACATGATAATGGTGTCTCGAAGGATGTGTTCGATGGGGAATTTTAATGTCGAATGTCGAACAACTCTAGGATGATGGTGAACACAGCATTAAGTTACATATATCCAACTCACCTCAGCGGATAGGAGTTTCTTGCTCACAAACTGAATGATTGCAGCTGAACCCAGAAGTTGGAGAACAGTTTCCATCTGTTGAAGGAGATAATCTAAGACTTCTTATTATTGGTTCTCTTGATATAACTTCATAGGAAAAGGATATGAGCTAACCTCAGCAAAAGCCAGCACACCTACTCCAGTAGCTGCCGCAGCAACAGCAGTAGCAACAGCAGGCAGACCTTCAGAATCCTCCTACACGTGAATTTTAATCAAGAATCTTAGAGAAAATCCAATCATCTTTGACCAATGCAAAGTTTCAAGTAAACGAATTGGAATAGAAATGCATACACCAAGTGCACCGGCAATGGCATCTGTTAGACTGCTAAGGCTGAAAGATGACTTCGGTGTTATCCAAGGAAGATCACTATTCTGCGCAAGACACAGATCCAAGTGAGAACCTCCTAAAATATACTGAAAAAAATACTTAGAGACAAAGAAGAATGGTGATAACCGTCCATCCACGAGGTCCTTCTGCACCATCTTTAATAGCAAAAGCAGCTTTGAATCCATTGACAGTTACCAACTCGGCTACGAGTTCGGAATTGCCATCATATCTGTCTTCCAAAAAAACTTAGACAGATCATTTTCAAACACTATCGGTCAGAAGAACTGTAATAGCTCAAACCCACCGCTAACAAATATTGTTTGCTTTGCTCTGTTATGTATTGATGTCAACCTCACGGTTTTAAAATGCGTCTGTTAGGGAGAGGTTTCCACACCCTTATAAGGAATCGTTGCTCTCTCCAACCGATGTGAGATCTCATAATAACTATGTTCTAGACTACCAGATGGTTTCAATTTTCCATAGACCACAAAAGATGCTTACATTTGCTAAAAGTAGTTCATTGATATACAATCTTGTTTTCGCTATCAGTTCGGATTCACCAACCAAATGTCGGGTAAAGGCATCCTGATTGATTTGTGAACTAAAAGAACAATTCTTATCTTCAAGTTAGTGATATAGCTTGAGGGTATCAATTAGACCTGTCACTGTCTTTCAATCAAGGGCCATCAAAAGCAAAGACCCGATTGGTTGTTTATATAGTTAACTCTAACAAACCAACAAACAGGGTAATAGGTAGAATTGCTCATTTGCCAGGTTTTAAGTCTAAACTAAGTTAACAAAGATGAGCACCTACGTAAAGAGTTCTGCAAAGGCTTACTTGTCTAAAATGAATAATGTGGTATTCTGAGGCTCCTTGAACTTCAAACCAAGCTTCTTCAAGAAACCTGGCTTATCTTCACCGTTGTAGGTGATGGACACAGGCTTTTTGCCCAAACCCCGAACATCAGGGCCGCCCACCTTACTTAGTTCAACCGGTGATCTAATATCAAGTAGCTGAGCATAGGCATCCTCACCCAATTTTGCATAAGCATTTCTAGCGGACTCAACACCCCATGGCTTAGATTTTCGGGGAAAAAGAGAGAAGAACAAAGGGAGTGCCAAAATGACAGCACCACCAACAACGATTCCAGGATTCTCTGTCCCAAAATTTATAATCCCATCAAGAACCCCATTTAAATCCAAGTCCCCAGATGACGAAGTGCTCACAGATTGTTGGAGAGCCTCCTCGTATGTAAGAGCTCCGGCAACACCAGCATTAAGCACTGAAGATAACAGCACTAGGCTTCCTTGTAAGCTTCTTGATGAACAAATTCCTTGTGGAACTGGTAAAGTTGTGCTGGAACTAGCAGAATTTGGCGACTTGAAGGAGGGAGGAGATGGGATTGGGGAGAGTTTTCTGGGTTCTCTTTTTCTGTCGGAAAGAACAGCCAAGGGGCTCAAACTTGCTGCATTGAGGGCCTCCATGCCAATTTTGTTCTGATGAGATAGATTCAACAAGCATAACAAGTGAAGGGTTTATGCCAATTTGGTATATTTTGGTGGGGATATGATTGAATGGAGGGCAAGGTGTGAAAAGGGATGACAAGGCTTAGCTGAGAGAGTTGTGTTGCAATTGGGACTCTTGTTTTTCTTCAACAGAGGGCTGAGGTGGAATGAGAGATGATCTGCAACCTATAAGATGATGACATGTGGCAGGATGATTGTTTTTGGAGAGGTGTTTGTGTGGCTGAAAGTTCAGAGTGGAAAGATGCGATTAGATCTAAACCCGGTTGGAACTTCTGTAGAACTTTCAGTACAGAAGTACAAGCCGATGAAATTACACGGTGGGAATGGGAATAAGAATCAATGCACGTACAGTACACAATTTTGTAGTACAATATTCAACTAGAACACTTGAGTTGTAACAAGAACAAGATGGAGATTGTCAAGTTTGTCTGGAATTCTAAGAACAGGCTTCAATATATTCACAGATGAAAATGGGAGTTAGACGACAGCATAAAATGTTTGTTATTTATGGAAAAAAATATTAATCAAGATCGTAATTGAGCTCACTAATACAATATGGTAGCAAATAGAATTAGACTCTTACCCTAAAAGAAAAAAAAAAATCTCTCGATTGTTGATATTAATTATTCCTAACAACTTGTCCTAGAACATTGGAAGCCATTCTAGCATCTCAACATTATGGATATCGTTTGTTACATCAAGCATAGTCAATGCTTTTCCATTTTTCTGGTGGGTAGTAGAGGAGATTCTGGCCACCCCAGGCCTCTGGTGAATCAGATGACGATCCTGTCTTAGCTTACACACATTGGCTCACTACTCAGCTCCTTAAGAATATAGAACCAATATGGATATAGTTTTGCATCAGCTATAAATGAATTGAAGCATAAAGGTGGAAAAGTGAACAAAACTTCACGGTGGTCACTCAAAAGCAGCTAAGAAACGCTGCAAATTTGAGACTTTTCACAGAAGATCAAAAAAGTAATCCAAACCTTGCCCGATTTCCCATATGGAGATGCCAGTACCCAAGGATCGAGCTTCCTCAAGACGTGTGAACACTGATTTCAGTGATGGATAAAAAACTGCGTGCTTGTTTTGATTGTTATCAGCACATAAGAAGAAATGTTCGGCACTGATATCCTCCCACTGCAGAACAGGTTTGTACTTCTCCAACAAAGATAGATAATCTCTTCCAGTGATGACTCCACCTCCTATTGATTCCAGCAAAATACAACTGTTGTTAAGAAACGGGCACTCCTGAGCTATGGAATTCCTTTACAAACAAGACAATCTCCTGATGTCAAATTTTATTTCGTTTAGGCTTCGGATATATAAATGTGAAAAAATGATCATTCCTAGAATTACTAGAGGATAAAGAGGTTGAAGATCTACGCATTCATACTCGATTCAATTTGACA